CTCTCTCTCTCTCTCTCTCTCTCTCTCTCTCTCTCTCTCTCTCTCTCATCTATCTATATATCTATCTATCATTTATCTATCTATCTATCTATCTATCTATCTATCTATCTATCTATCTATCTATCTATCTATAGTGTATACACATACAAACACATACATATTCCATACATTCATACAAAACCACACTTGAATAATGTTTGTGTTAGATAATTATCTATAGAATTGTAACTGTTTATTATTGTACAAAGGTCTGATCCTAAAATGCTATTTAAGAGCATGCAGGCATCATGCTGCATCAGTCTGCAACTTTAAATAATCTTTTTAGGATTATATTGCTATGGTTTCCACTCCTGTATATAATGAAGAATATCAAAAGTATAATCATATGTGCGTACACAAAAAATAATACGTCTGGGTTCAAACAATATTAATAATCCAGCCTTAATAAATGTACTAATATGCATATTTCTGTCTCTTTAAGAGAAAAATGGTGACCTTAAGAGTCAAATTGACAAGCTTTGGAAAGAGGTAAATGCGCTGAAAGAAATGCAAGCCTTACAAACAGGTAAGTTCTGGCATGATTTTCTTTTACCTCCAGAAAAGGCTGTGAGAAGCATCCTTTCTCCATGACCTATTTTTTAATTGCTACCTGAGCTTAACTAGAGTTTTAATACGGGGAAGGGGAGGAGACTATGGCAAATATGATTTCATTTCCTGTTGCACTAAAAGCTATTCATACTGTGGGATGCTGAACGGTGATTTAAAATACCCTTGAAGCATCCCTGGTCTGGGATTTATTGGCTAAGCACAGAGCGGACTTTACTTTGGCAGATTGCAAGATTAAATCAATGGAGGCTACAGAACTTGCATTCCATGAACAGCCAAGGAGACTTCTATTTCCTGCTAGTTCTGCCCACTCTGATGTCAATATAGAGACACTTCTTTTCTTTTGTGGTGTACTGCGAAGCCAGTGAGGTCTACCAGAAGGGGCTCTTTTTTTCAAGCTGAAATAGTACAAATAAAACTCCCAAGTTGCTTTCATCTCCTCCACCCCTTCTATACTGCCTTCAAGACCAAATCTTCTAACAGAGGAATAACATGACTCTGTAGATTTACAGAAATTAAAAAAAGAAAAGATTTACAGAAGGATGGAGACTCAATGTATGTTTTGCAGGCTGAGCAGGCTTGATGTCATCTGCTCCAAAACATTTCATCTTCGGTGCTCAAAAGGACCTCTGATCCCTCCAGTATCATATTTAATTTCTTAACAATATCTCTGGGTCCATAATGTCTATCTGCTCTTTTTTTAAGAAGCAAGATATAGCCAGGACTTTATTTGGAAATATGCTCACTTGCTTGGCAAAACAGAGGAGATAAACTGGGGAAATATATAGCGTCTGAATGTAGTCATTAATTATGTCTTCAAGCATTTCCCTTCCTTCCTCTCCCGTCTTCAATCCTGGCAAACAGAGGATAAGTATTACTCTGTTCACATAATACACTTAAAGTGAATATTGAACTAATTTATTTTCTGGGTTCATACTGTCCATTGAAGCATAAAATAACCCAACAGTTTGGGTTTACCTAGTATACTGAGCCAAAAAATCCTAACTGAAATTGATATTCCAAAGTAAATATGTTGTGAATGAGGCTATTAAGTCTTTTAACTATGCTTAAATTCCATTTGTGAATGGAGCCTGTAACTAGTTAAGTAATCAGGAAGAATTTCCTGAAAATAATGGAACAGTCTATCTATGGAGTTATGGGTTTTCCATCTCTGAATGTTTTTTTTTTTAAAAAGAGACTAGACAGTACTTTTCATGAATGGTTTAATTGGTTTCTCCAATGGTTTAATTGGTTTTTCTCTTTTCTATATGATGATTCTGAGATAATTACCTTTTATCATGGTGATGGAAGAGTAATTAAAATGTTCAAGGGATTAGAGATCAGATTACAACTAGTGAGTGTTTTTAACTTGGTGGAAGGAAATGACTTCAATAAAACTTGTATAAAAGTATAGTTAGTGCCACACCCCGGGTCATCACAGACTTAGCAATGGAAATTTTGGTACCAATCGTGGTTGTAAGTTGAGGACTCTCTCTATTCCCTGTGTGTTTTTCATTCCATTCACAGTCTGCCTTCGTGGAACAAAGATCCACAAGAAATGCTACCTGGTCTCTCAAGGTGCAAAACATTTCCACGAAGCCAACGAAGACTGCATAGCCAAAGGTGGGACCCTTGCTATTCCCAGAGATGGAGATGAAACCACAGCCCTAAGAGAGTACAGCAAGAAGGGCTTACCAGGGGTGGCAGAGTTTTGGCTCGGTGTCACTGACATGGTAAATGAGGGAAAATTTGTGGACGTCAACGGAATGGTCTTGAACTACTTCAACTGGGACCGTTCACAACCCAACGGGGGGAAGCGTGAGAACTGTGTCTTGTTTTCTCAGCCAGGTCAAGGAAAATGGGTGGATGACGTCTGCCGTACTGTTAAACATTACATTTGTGAATTCCTGATCCCTTAGTCCTCTTTTGAGACTGGCCAACTTTGAGGGAAATATCTATTGCAAATTCTGGGATTGAAGTTCTTAGCTGCTCATTCAGCCACTTAGTTGGAGAAAGCAAAATAGAATGATTACAAATAGGCAGTTGAGTTGCAGTTTCTGGAATTTTACTAGCCTGCTATTTGAACATGGATTTGATGGGCCTTGAACTGTAGCAGACTTGCTCCTAAGATCCCTTGTCTAGTTAGAATGAGATACATTCAGCTTTGTTTAATTAAACCAGTGAGATACATTCTGCTTCCAGATAATGGTCTTCTTCTCATTACATTAGTTTGCTTCTGATTCATTGTAATTTTCTCTAGTTACTTAAATCTCTCTTCTCCACCCCAGCTCAAATTTTACAATCTGGCTCTTGATCTGAATCTTGACTGACCCTATTTCTTGGGAAATGAATTTTTATCTTGGTTAAACACTTTGGTTTGATCCACTCACTGTCGCATTGATCTAATGAAGATTATAATGCTGCATTGTCCTTGAAAGGACAGTATAACATTTGTAGAATATTTTACTTTTAAAGTCCAAGTTTAAGGTCTTTACTTTCTTGTTGTATTGGAACCAGGGAAAGATTTCTAATGTTTGAGATAGATTTTCACTTGTAGAAATGAATGTTTAAAATTATTGTAGAAGGACAAAAAACAGATTTTGTAGTATTGAATAGCATCTTAAGTTGTCAATCAATAGATAATAGTAGATCTGGACAACCCTTGCCTCTGAAGTGTAATTTCCCAACATGCTTTACTGCTAGCACAGATAGATCTTTTTCTATAAACTTCATAAAATTTAATAAAGTTATTTTCAACAGCATTTATTTATTGGTTTGTTTTTTTATTTAAAGATTTATATGGTTGTCTACCTTAAATATTTGGAGTTTCTCACAATCACACTAAAACCAGTAGTCATAAAATAGGAAAATGATTAAACCAAAACCCTTTGAGCTCTCTCTCGCTCTCTCCCTCCCTCCTCCTTCCCCCCTTCCACGCACATGTTAAATAAATCAGTTGAAATTATATAATGGCAATTTCATTTTTAATCTTGCTTTATTCCTTAAAGTTCCTTCACCTTAACCATATCCTTAGAATATCTTGCAACAAGCTCCAGTTACTATCCTTCTATTTTATTCCTTTCCACTTTGTTCTTGGTAAAAAGCCAAGCTGCAGCTATGAGTTGGTGTGGCGTGCATAAAATTGCATCCAGGATATTCGTAAGAAGTCTTAACAGTGATGGCTGGGTTTAATCAAATACAGAGATAAGGCTGTACCACAACATGTTGTACCATGAACTACAAATTTCATTTTAACCTAATCTAGAATGTTGTGTGAAAACAATTGGAATTGTTGTACTGGATGAGCTAATCCAGGCTGATTACGTCCATAAGTCTGTGTTTGCACATTATGCTTAAGTGGGTTTAAAATTTGAATGCTACATTGGCACAGTTGGCTCAGCTGGGTTGATTTTAAGCCTGTTTAGTTACTTTATCACTGTGTGGTACTTTATTACTGTGTGGTGTGAACTCAACTGATGGGGTTAATTTACAACTTATTACAATGGTGTGAGCCCAGAACACGAGTCAGTTCAGTAGTCAGGTCAGGAATAGTGTGTGTTTGGGTCTCCCTACCTATTCCGTTTTCAGAAGCTCAAACTGGTAGGTGCCTCCTTAAGAAGCTACAAAGTCAGGTTTTGCCTTCTTGCCTTCCTCAAGGGAACAATGATAAGGTAAGCTCAATAGGCACACCAGGGAATTAAAACCTGGCCGGGTGGAATAGCCCATAACTCAGCTGCAAATGCAGAGCAACGGCCTGGAGACTTCAGAGTTTGAGCACCTGTTGGCAGAGATCGGGCTGAGTACATTGCTGGCCTTGGCGCTATTCGTGGTGTTGAAGTTAAGTGTGGACTCCATGCGCCGCAGCAGAGCAAAGGTCTCAGTGTTGGTGGTGGGCGCTGGCCCGGTGGGACTGACAGCTGCCCTGGTTGCTGTCCACTCAGGCAAGGTGCTGAAGCTGACACTGCTGGACATGTGTCCCCGTGCCACCCTCCTGTGCCGGTCCCAGCAGATCGCCCTCGACCCCCACAGCGTCCGATTCCTGTTGGGGCTGGGGGTGGACTTCGGCAACCTGGAAGGTTGTTGGGACAAGGGGCATTTCTTCACCAAGCTGGGCATCTTCCAGGAGCAGCTGCTTAGCATTCTGGAGCAGTACACGAGGCAAGTGGCTCTTCGGATCTTGCTGGGAACCAAGGTGAGTGAGGGAGAGGAGGCCATCCAGACAAAGATAGAATAGATGTCTCTGAGCATTTGTGCATGTCTCTCTCCACCCCATTTGTAGACCAGTTTAATGACCAGTCATTGCAGAGATCCTGCTGTTAGAAGATACTGTAGGAAGACAATCTCTTGATGGCTGAGGGTTGCACATAAACAGGAGATGAACATGTATCATATGCAGTTGGTTGAGGAGCCTCAAAACATGAACTCTGTGACCACAGTTGTCCATCCTTATTTTGGTGGGTGGGGAGGGGGAAGAGAGGATATTATATTGTACTGTATAGCTTCTGACTAAGTTGATGCCCTCAGTCCAGCCAACCAGTCAACCTTGCTGGTTTAGAAGTTCTTTAAAAAGTTTCACAATATTTACTGGGCTCTGCTATCCCAGTTTCCCTGGTATTTCTTCTCAGTGTAAATCAGGGGTCACCAACCTTTTGGACCTCAGGGGCAACTAAATTCATAATTTTAAATCCTGTGGATCACTAATATGATCTACCTAATGACCGGCTGGGTGGGCATTGCCAACTCGATGTCACTTATATTGAGGGGTGCCTTGCCGGCCTCTACATAGGTTTTCCAAGCAGAGGGAAGACCTACAGGAGTGCAAGGCCAGGTACCCGCACCTGGAGGCTCAGTGGGCTGAGATGGTCAGCCAGTTCTTGGCCATGATGCAGTCCAGTAGAACTCCAGCTCTTCGCCACCAGCGGCACTTCCCTTCAGCCTTCGCCCAAAGCCCTGCACCTGGAGGCTGAAGCAGACCCTAAGTCAGAATTTCTGCCTCCTGACCTTCACAAAAAGACCCCAAAGGTGGAGACACTCTGCAGCAAAAAAAATGTTCATTGCACGTATCCAACCCAGTGGCTGTAGTTTGAGGACTCCTGATTTAGTGCAATATAAAAAATGCAAATAATTTTTCTGTGGACAACCAAAATTTTCTCGCAGACCATCAGTGGTCCACAGACCACCAGTTGGTGACTGCTGGTGTAAATCATCTTTTGAGGAAGGAAACATGCTTGTTCATTTATTTTTGGGAAAAGAGTTTGGGATATTCCAATTGAAAAGTATAACAAGGCTACAGTATATCTTAGAATGTTTACATCCTGTCTTAAGCAAAGTCCTGTTTAAAGTACAGAAATAAACACACATGCTTAATTTAATTACACATTATGTTTATTCTTCCCAAACCTAAACAAATTCCATGCAGTTTTAAAAATCAAAATAAGCATAACATTCACAATTCCCACTTCATGAATTAAATCTGATTCGTTCAAAAGTACATCCAGGATATGAAAACTTGCTTTCTTTATCAGGCATAAAATTGACAGGTCCAGGGAGACTTCTATGATTAAGTAATATTAACCTGGTATTGAGACAATCTATAAACTGGAACAGTTAATTATTATTGTACATATTTAGACAGATAAATGGCTCCATAAATGAAACCCAAACAAAGGGTATTTGGCTATGATTAAAACACACATGTACTCTAAGGAAAGCTTTGTTGGCTTACAATTAAAGTTGAGTATAAGAACCAGTAATAAAAAGACTTTCCTGTAATTGTTGCATAAAACCTGCGTGAGGGAAAAAATATATTATTTTTCATTCTACGTTGGAGAAATCTAATTTTTCCATTTTTGGTGGAGGGGATTTGAAAATATATTTTTCATTTGGGTTGATTTGTTGTTTCCATTTATATCTTGGCAAGACAGAACCATAATATTCCCAAACTGTATTTTTGGGGATTATATGTGAAATGTGGGTCAAGCTTTGTCTTTCCATCTCTTCTTTAGTTTTCAATTGAACTTTTAAAAAAGGATTTAGTGTCTGATTGGCCAAAGATCATTGTCTTAGCTGATGGAACCTGTGGTGAATCAAGTGTAATCCTTGGAATCAACCCAGAATACACTGTGGAATCTTGCAATGCTTATGGAGCAAATGCAGTGATGGAGAGACCTGATCAACGACAGGTAATCATAAACAAGGAATGTTCTTTGGTACTTAATAGATTCTGTAGGGTTGATAAAAATTGGTTCAAAGTAGAAGTAGAATCAGAATTATGGACTTGGATAGTACCTTATAGATCATCAATGGTGCTTTTCAATGCAGTGCAGTATTCGTTGAAGTATTTCTCACATCAGTGGCAGTTTGGGGCAATGGTTGATAGCTGGTACAGTTATGAATTAATATTTAATCTGGACCTTCTTCCTTATAGTTATAACTTAATAATTTTCCTCCTGTTCTCTTGGAAATAGCAAATTATGAATTGTGGGGTTATTCTGAACCATATTTCAGAAAAATTATACTTGAACCCATGTAGCTCCATCAGAACGGAGCTGATTTGAATAGATTCAGAATCCAAAATTATGTTCATATACAAAGGTGGACAAATCAGTCTCCATGAAGAAAAATACAACAATCTTTGTACGCAGAAGCTACTCAACTTCCATATAAATATCAATCAATATTTTTAAAAGTTCAGGCAGCAGGAGTAGGACACCATTAGCTAGAGTGGGTTCTTTCATTATTTAATAAATGGCACATTTCTGAAATTGAAAAAAATAACCAACTTTCAAAATAATGCCTTTCTTGCTTTGGGTGTTATAGATTAGATATTATATTGCAGTGGTTAGTGTTAAGCCTGAAATTTCCACTCGCTCCTGAAGTGTCTTAGAGAAATGTTAAGTTAAATGATTCTGTTCTCTTT